ACTCTGTCTCAAAAACAAGTAAATAAATAAAAATAAATAAATAAATAAAATGAGAATACGTTGCGTGTTATTTGTATAATTTAAAAGTAGAGGGCTGGACGTGGTGGCTCACGCCTGTAATCCCAACACTTTGGGAGGCCAAGGCGGGCAGATGATGAGGTCAGGAGATTGAGACCATCCTGGCCAACATGGTGAAACCCCGTCTCCACTAAAAGTACAAAAATTAGCTGGGGATGGTGGCACGTGCTTGTAACCCCAGCTACTCAGGAGGCTGAGGCAGGAGAATCCCTCGAACCCGGGAGGCAGAGGTTGCAGTGAGCCAAGATCGCACCACTGCTAGCATGACGACATAGCAAGACTCCATCTCAAAAATAAATTAATAAATTAATTAAATAAATAAAAGTAGAAAAAACTTGTAAAATAAAGTAGGTTTTAAGGTCTAATGTGTTAAAAAAAAAATAAGTAGGGACAGAAAAAAAAGAAAAAGAAAGAGAAAAAACTCCAGTTCTAGAGCCAAAAAGACCTAGGTTTGAATCCTGGCTCTGCTATCTGTAAAACTCTAAGCAAGTTACTTACATTCTCTAAGCTTCAGTTTCCTCACCCATACAATAGGACAAATATTAACCAACGTTTCCTCCGATGTTAGGTGGATTTAATGAGAGAATGCACGTAAAATACTAGCATTGGCCGGGCGTGGAGGCTCAAGCCTGTAATCCCAGCACTTTGGGGGCCGAGACGGGCGGATCACGAGGTCATGAGATCGAGACCATCCTGGCTAACACGGTGAAACCCCGTCTCTACTAAAAAATACAAAAAACTAGCCGGGCAAGGTGGTGGGTGCCTGTAGTCCCAGCTAAGGCAGGAGAATGGCGTAAACCCGGGAGGTGGAGCTTGCAGTGAGCTGAGATCCGGCCACTGCATTCCAGCCTGGGTGACAGAGCAAGACTACGTTTCAAAAAAATAAAATAAATACTAGCATAGTGCCTGGCATAACAGAAGTGCTCCAAGAATACGAGCCATTAAAACATCCAACCTTCCTGCTCGGCTGCTCCTCAGGCTGAGCCTTCCCTCATCCCCAGCTTTTCTAATTCGTGATCTCAAAGCTCCTTCCCCTCTACCACCATCCTTTGCCTACAGCTTCAACCAAAACCTCTTCCCTCCCCAATATGCTAACCTCAGTGATCTGTCAGGACGGACCAGAGGGTGATCCCGCTCAGTGACCTCCTCCACAGCCTGAGAGAGGGCACAGAGCCCTGAAAGCTGCAGGTTTGTGTCCAAGCTGGATATCTGCACAGTGGCCACGACGGCTGCCACATGTTGATCCAGGGAGCTGCGAGGACCGGGACCCCGCAAGGCTCTGGCCATTTCTGAAATTGGTGGGAAAAGGCAATGGCTAAAAGAACTGTGGCACCTTGAAGTTAGAAGTCTTTAAAGTCAAGCCCAGTTATCCTACCAATATTTAAATACATTATCGGCTACTGCAGCTTGCATAGTTTTCCAATTCTGTGTCAGGGATCTAATGATCAAACAAAGGAGATGAAGACACCACAGAAAAAGGACCCTCCTTTTCCAGAGATACTGAAGGGAGCGCTGGTTAATTAAATACAATCAAGGTCAAAAGGAAGAAGATGGACACATGGTTCCAAGGCATTTTCCCCTGCAAAAACGACCTTCTTCCATGGTTTTCCTTCGATCCTGACTATCCATTTCTTCTACTGAGACCACCCAGGACCTGTTCCAATTGCTTCCTCCCAGAACCTGACTCACCACTGGCTGACTCCTTCATCTCAGTGGGCAGGGTCATCCCCTCAGTCACCAGAAGCTGGTTAAACAGCTGCGAATCACTCTGTGCCATGGGGGGCTCGGTCCTTGTCTTGGTGGGCTCGGCCTCTGTCTTAGGGGCCTCGGCCTTTGCTTTGGGGGACTCAGTCTCTTCCTCTGAGAAGTTGGCCTCTGACTTGGACTCCTCTTCTGGATCTGGGGTACAGGAGTGATTTCGTGAAGTAGACGAGCTGCTTCGTTCATCAGACAGCAGCCCATACTTGGTGTAGATCTGGGAGTTGAGCAGGTCATTGAGAGTGCTGCCTTCAAATCGACTACTGAGAACCTGCAGCAGACTCTCAGCCATCTCCACGGACACAGAGATCTCACCTAGGGCCTTTTCACCCAGGGTCTGTCAACAGAAGGGGTATACGTTTAAGAGATAAGCAGACACAAAGGTCTTGGGGTCGGTAACGGGAAGGGTGATCACTCCCCACCACGCCCCCACACCTTCTACATACTAAACCCTCACAGCACTTGCCTCCGCCCCCCAGCAGGACTTCTCCTAACTCTAACCTCTAGCTCCAGCCTCCCCCTAGTGGTATCCCCTGTCTGAAACTCCTTCTAGAGAATCCCACCTCTAACCCTACTAGAAAATCCCCAGGTATCTCAGGCCTATAATACCTCATCCACGTTCTTCCAAAGATTCTGGAAAATTGGCTGCTGCTCACACAAGTCCAACTTTTTGATAAAGAAAAGCAGCTCCCACCATTCAGCCTGGGTCAGATATCCCACTCTCTCATTCTTCTGAGGTTCGGGCTGGAGATACGGCAAAGGGTAGAGCCCATCCATAGGATTCCAGTCCCAGGAGGGAAATGCTGAGGACACAGGCATGGTGGGGATCAGCACCCCTCAGGAATGGGGTCCGTTTCTGGACCCCTAGGACTGCTCCTGGTCAGAAGTGGCTTCATCCCAGTCACTACTCCTCTGTTCAGAGACAAGCTATTCATGTCCCCTCTTAGGCTCACCTGTGCCCAACACAGTAGCCCCTGCCCCCTTCTCCACAGCTGCTGAAGCCTTATCCTCAGTGGCTTCCTCAGGGCCCAGGATCTCCAGCATGTGCCAGTGCACCCAGTAAGTGCGGCCTGTCGACTGCCAGAAAACCTGGTATGAGGGAGGAAGAAAGAGGGCAGAATAGAAAAGGCTCAACCATCTGAGCCTTGGCCTGTGAAGGCTTGAAAGGACATGCCCAAGCATAGATTTGGGGCGCACCCTCACATACACAGCTGGCTAAGCCTGGAAAAACCCCCATATGGCAAAAGGCTTCCTTCCCTTATCAGGAGTGGGCCCTGCCTCTTCTTAACCATGATGTTCTCTGCTTCCACATTCCTTCCTAGCCTCTTCCACTGGTGGTGGTGGGGAGGTATCTCCATTTATCAGTTCTGCTTCCTGGGTGAGTCTCCCATGAACTTACAGTCCACCCACACCCCACACCCCTGCCAGATTTTCTCAGCCCTCCAAATGCACCCCCCGCAAATGCCAACCCCCTTGTATCATTCCAATTCCCCAAGGGGGTTTCTTCTTGGGTGGCCTGCAGGAGTCCGCTGTATGAAGTCCCAGCTATACCCCACCCCAAATAAACTCCCAACAGTGTCTCACCACCACGTGCTGCCCACCTGCACAGGGGGAATGCCGTTGTTGCTCTGCCGGAACTCGCCCTCGTCCCCAGCACTGATCTCCTCATAATCATCCAGCATCCGCACTCGCATCCCCGGCTGCAGCGTCTGCTGCACATATTCTCCATAGCCACTACGGCTGGAGAATTCAGAGCGCTGGCGGAAGACCCACCCTTGTCTTCTGGGGGTGGTGACAATGGTGGGGAGTAAAAGGCTGGGGCCTGAAATGTAGGGCTGAAAGATGGACCGGGTTGGCCGGGGAGGTGACATGCCCTGTTCGCTGAGGTTCCGGGCCCAGCCCATGCTCCGCACAAGCTCAGAGATGAGATTGCCCACAGCCATGCTGAACTCCAGCTCCCGCTGTCCCCGGCTTTTCTCTCTTGTGGCACATGGGGAGCTTTGGTCTCCAGCTCCCAGCTCTGGACTGTTATTCAGCTGATCCAGGAGGGAGGTGACACAAAGGTAGCGCTTCACCAAGGAGAAGAGCAGCTTTCCTGGGATCTGTAAGGCACAATACTTGGGACAGGTTCATCTCTTCCTGGCTTTAGCCTCTCCCTTTCCCCCCAGTATCCTCCTCTACAGAAAAATATAAAGGCCTTCTCCCCAGACCTGTAGTTCTCCAACTTTGATTTGTGTAAGAAAGGCACACAGAGTGTCTTAAGACACAGATTTCTGGGTTCTCATCTCAGAAATTCTGAATGGAGAGGGGCTGAGAGGGAGGACATGAACCTTCATGTTAACAAGTTCCCAGGTGGCTCTGGTGCTAACATTCAGTCCTGAACCATGTTTTCAGAAATAATGCCTCAGCCCTTGTACACAGCATTTCCCTACAGCCGGTAGTGTACCTGAGGCAGATGAATGCCCTCAAAGGCCATGCAGTGTTCTTCAGAGGATGTGGTTTCTGCAAACAGCTCCAGCAATGTATAGCGACTGTCAAAATCCATGTGCTGCTCGATGCCATCTTGCTGGCTCAGTGACAGAAGGACGTGAGCCCGACTCCCTGTAATCCATACCCAATCCATAACTTCTCCTCAATCCCCAGTACTTTCTCCCTGCCTTTCCTAGATTCTATCTCCTATCCCAGAGGCTTTCAAACTTTGTTACTAAGACTCACAGCAAGAAATATGTTTTACATGGTAACCTGTTACAAACATACATACATATAACTGAAATATATTTTATGGTACAAAATTTACCCCTACTAAGTGCTACACACTAATGACTTAAGTTTTTTTAAAAATGTTGGTTGTAACCCACCAAATTGATTTCAAAACCAACTAATAAATCTCAATCCAGTTTCAAAAATACAGATAAATCCTATTCTCTTCTCTGGTCAATGCACTGAGAATGAACAGATAAGCCAGAGGCTATCATTTTAGCCTCTTTATATACCTGAAATAGCCTATGAATCTGTATTTTTCCTTTGCATCAAATTGATATTCACCAAATACTAGGTGTTCTTGGAGAGCTAGAAAATCTCTCCTCTTTCTGTTCTTACTCCCTGTGGCCCCATTTTCTCCATTGTTTTCCTTCTTCCCTGGCTGTCTCTTACCAGCATCGTGGGCTGCCAGAGCCTGCAGCATTTTGCCTGCACTCCGGCGGATCTGAGGCTCAGGATTGCACAACATGTGCATAAGCAGGTCCAGGGCTCCTGTCTCCCTGAAGACACCAGTGAGGGGCCCGATGCTGGCGTAGGCACTGAGCACGTGGATGGTGTGGAGCACAGCAGCCGTGAGGCTTGGGGTCCCACTTTCTGCCAGCTGCCTGGCTGCCCTGCGTACCAGCGCCTGCACATCAGCCTCCATCTCTCCCATTGCCACTTCATCCGGGCCTCCTGGATCTCGAGGAAAGCTTCCTGAAACCCCAGCTGGTTCGTGCTGAGGTCCCTTAGATAGTGCCCGCTCACCTAACAGCCCAGGGCAGTTGGCGTAGACCTCAGGAGCTGACAGCCACATGAGGATGTGCTCTGCTTTGCCTTCTTCCACACCCACTTTGCCCACTTCCCCACACTTCAGGACACTCCATCGGATCAGGTATTCAGGATGCCCATCATGCCCAGGCCTCTGTCGAATGAGTTCTTCAGGATATGCCTGCAGCCGAGGCCCTAAAGGCACCATGAGGTCCCCAGCATGCCGTTCCCCGACCATCCTGACCTCCTGGGATATATAAGGAGAAAGATAAGGCAGTATGAGAAAATAAAAAAAATACAGAGGGGGTGGAATCTTGAGACACAGAGAAGGTGGGTGGTGATCGGTAGGCTGCATGGTAGAATTTAGGAGGCCAAACAGAAAAGGCAAAAAATAGGATGGAATAAATAGCTGAACATACTTTGGGATTTATAACAGAAGGAGAATGGAGTGAAGACAGTGAGGGGATGAAGAGATTTAAGAAATGGAAGAGTTGGCTGGGCCTGGTAGCTCACGCCTATAATCCCAGCACTTTGGGAGGCCAAGGTGGGCAGATCACCAGGTCAGGAGTTCAAGACCAGCCTGGTCAACACAGTGAAACCCCATCTCTACTAAAAATACAAAAATTAGCCGGGTGTGGTGGCATATGCTACTCAGGAGGCTGAGGCAGGAGAATCACTTGAACCCAGGAGGCGGAGGTTGCAGTGAGCCAAGACCGCACCACTGCATTCCAGCCTGGGCAACAGAGCGAGATTCTGTTAAAAAAGAAAGGAAGAAAGGAAGGGAGGAAGGGAGGAAGGGAGGAAGGGGAGTTTACAAAAAGATAATGAAAAGAATAATAGGCAAGGTAACAATAAACAGTGACAGTTAAGCAAGATAGTTTAGGCAGGATAGCAGGGTGGCTGAGGGTTACAGATTAGGACTTAGAAGGATGACATGGGTGGACAGGAAGCACAGCAGCATGAGAGGCAGTGGGGTCAGAACATGTGAGGAAAAGTAGGACAGCGGAGGGGCACGACAAGGAGCATAAATGACAGAGTAAAGCTGCAAGATGGATGTAAAGGGTGGGCCATGGCAGATACAGAGAACGGAGATGACAAAAGGCTGGGATGTTGGGGCAAATGACTGGATAGGAAAAGTGTTTTCGAGTCTTGTGAAAGGGGGAGGGCCCTAGGGACCAGATAAAATTATGGGAAAGATGACCAGGTCCCACCCTGCACTTATGCTGTATGTATGGTAAGGATCTAAGTAAGTCAGGTAGATAAGATAGAGGTGGCAATCACTGGGTTAAAGGTAGGAAATGAGGTCAGGAGAGAGGCAATATTCAGAGATTTTAGTGTCAGATAAATGTGACTCTGAATTCTGGCTCTTTGTCTCACTGTCTGCATAGTCTGGAACAAGTTACTTAACCTCTGAGCTTGTTTCCTCTTCTGCAAGATGGTAGTAATATTCATAGTTACTTCATGAATTTAAAAAAGATCACGTATGTAAAGCACTTGGAACAGCATCGAGCACATGAGTGTTCAGTAAACATAATCTATTATTATTCTTAGATGGAGAAGGTAGGGGAGTCATCAAATAAATGCAAAGTTATTAAGACCGATTATAAATGGGAGTGGAATGATCAGGAAAGATATGAGTGATATGAAGCAGTGCAGGAGCAACAGGGAATAGTGAGAATAAGAATGGAAGAAGGTAAACCCAGATGAAGATATGGGTGGTCAGGGCAGGGGTCATGTTGGGGTACAGGGACAGAAGATTAGAGTAGAAGTGAAGAGGAGGGAGAAAGAAGGATGTGGACCTCAATGGAAGTAGGGGTCCACTTAGGATGGGGGGCAAGCCTGGATGGTAACCAGCGATGTGCCAGCGGGCAACTGATTAGCAGCAGGGGGAAGTAAAACAATCGGAAAGGAGGAGGTGGGGGGATGTAATGTGGGCCTAGGAGAGCAACAGTGAACTGAGGTGTAGGGGTGAGGTCTGGACGCAGGGATGAGACCAGCAGATAGCAAGGTCAAGCCCAAGCTTGCAGAGCCGTGGAGGAGGCCAGCACTGCAGAGGGAACAGGTTGGGGGGAGGGGGGAGGATGTTTGGGGGCGCGGCCCAAAGAAGCTGAAAAGATCCAGTGAATCTCAAGAGAGCAAGACCTCGTTCCCTTCGTCAGCCCCATGGACAGTGGCTAAAGAACCGGGGAGGAGACAGGAGAAGGGGAGGGACCGGGTCGGCGCAGAACTCTCCTCTCACCTCCCACCGCCCGGCTCAGCCCTCGCTGGGACCCAGCGGCCGGTCCCGCCGTCCTGGCCCCGCCTCTTCAGAGCTCCCTTCCGGGTCACACGGCGACTGCACGCACGGCCAGGCACCTACGGGTCCCACCGCGGCCCACGCCGAGCGTGGCGGAACAGCGCGCGAGTGGAGCATGCGTGCTACCGCGGCGGCTGCATGGGGAGAGGGTCGTGGGGGCGCACTCCCGGCAGAGCCCGGGATCGAGGTCACGTTGCTCCTCTCTTAGCAGCAGGAAGAAGCCCCCTCCTCTTCACTGGGTCGGCTCTCCTAATCCTCCCTCTCCCATCACAGCGATCATGCTGACGAAACATAGTAACGCACACTCCCACCTTAAGGCTGTCCTTTTTGACTTTTCAGTAGGTCACGTGCCCATGAGTTTCCCAAACCCTTCAGCAATGCTTTGGATTAGTTGTGTCACTTTTCCTGTTAATTATAATTGCTCCTCTGCGTTGGCCTTAACACCTAGCAAAACCACGCACAGGGAGAAGGTCCGCGGCCACCCGCAAAACATTCCTTAAATTAAATCGTATAGAATTAAACTGCCCAAAGCACACCTTAGCATTACCGTTCTCATCAAGCAGCCCAGATCGCTACTCAGAGCAGCAATTTTAGGAGTTTGCCTCGCGTTCATACCCCCGTCCCTCCCTAAGTAGAAAAACAGAGCCAAAGACCCCACAGTCTGTGCACAAAAATGATACATTTATTGAAAGAGTATTTTTTTTTTAATACAAAAGAAAGCTCTGTACATAGGACTGTGACCATGTCCACTATTCCTGGGTCAGCATCCCAGGGGAAGTAGAAACCACTGACATACACACTCACATTCACGCACACACACTCAGGCACACACACACACACATACCCCAGAGCCACCGAGGAAGGGAAACACCAAGGGTCGCTGCACATAAAAATGCCACCTCAACTCATCCCTGACACACGTATGTCCTCCCAAGGCCACGCTCACACAACACACATTATAAGCACTTTGCCTGATTCACTCACGGGGTCTGTCTTTTGGGGGAAGGAGAGGAAGAATTCATCAAAGGTCTCCTCCCATGGGTGGGGGAGTAGGGAGTGAGTGAGTGGTGGTGGAGTGAAACAAGAGCAGAGAAAAGGGGCTGGGCAGTTACAGACCTGAGTCCCAAGCTCCCCTGCTCTCTGGCCCCTGATTTGCCATGCCCCAGCCTTGAAAGCCACCCATAAGCCCCAGCTATCTCCAGGAGAAAGCCCAGAAAGGTGACTTCCATCTTGGCACCCCAAACTGGGGCAAGACAGCAATGAGGGTTAGAGGTTAGGGGGTTCTCAAACATGTCGGCAAATCATCCCCTTGATAACTAGGCTGTGCGTAAAATCTTCCCCCACCCCTTCACCTAATCACAGAAGCCAGCTTGTTCCTACTGAAGGCAGTCTTGGGGTTAAGAAAATTTCACCCCACTGCTGCCCCGTTTCTGAAAAAGCTCCCTTTCTGGATATAGGTGGTGAAGGTAGGCTCTGACACAGGGTAAAAGACCCTCCCCCCTATGCTGGCCCACCCTCAAGGTCTACCCCAAAGGGGGAGGAGGGGGGTGGGGCATGGCCCCTGTACAAATTACATAAATACTGAGGTTACACTTAGAAAAATAAATTCATTTTCTTCAAGGCTTTTTGTCTTAATTTAAAAAAGTTACAGTAGCTGCTCACTCCCTGGGAGAGCTGCCCATTTCTGGCTCCCCTTTGGCTGCATTCAGCCCAAGAGCTGCTCCCACTTCTTCTGACCCCCATTCCTGCCTCTCACCCCCTCCCAGACCCCACCCTGCTCACTGCAACTTGGGCCCCAGGCAGCTGCAGGCCTGGGACAGCACAAGGCTGCAATGCCCATGCGTGTGGCACAAATGAAGTCGGTTGCCTCCGCCTGACACCCTCCCACCCCCACCCCGACATTTGGTCTCCCTCTTCCCTCTCCCTAGCAACAGCCCTAAAGGGCAAAAAGAGGCCCAGAGCTGTGGGTCACCCTCCCCACCCCGTTGGGGCATGGCCTGAGGGCCCCTCCCCCGGCTTTCTCCTGGAAACAACCCAGGACTGGGCAAACCCAGAATCTCCCCCACACACTGGCGGACCCCGAGCTCGTGGGGTGGCTCTGTCCCCAGGGGCCCAGCCAGTTCTGGGGAGCCTTGGGCTCCCCAGGGAAGGGGAGTTTGGGCAGGGAGGGGGACGAGAAAAACGCCATAAAAAAAAGTTAAATATTTTAAAAATATATATTTATAGATTTGTTTTCACTTCGTCTCCTCAAATAAAAAGTTCAAAATCAACTTTAAGTAAAGCAGCTGGGAGGAGAGGGGGGAAGACAAGGGGGAGAAGGGAACGCTGGTGGTTCCCTCCAACCCAGGATCCCCTGGAGGTCCAAGGGGAGCGGCAAGGCAGGGCAGGCAGCCCCAGGAACCTGCCCAGTGCACAGGCCCAGCTACTCAGGAACTGAAGGGGCAGAGGGCAGCAGTGTGAGGGAAGAAGCCCCTGTCTCCCCAGCTGGCCCCCTGAGGGGCAGGGGCAGGGCTCTTTTGACCCAGCCTGTGGCAGACACAGGGCTGACCTGGGGTCAGCAAGCAGGCTAGCAAGAGGGCCCCAACTGCTTCTTTAGAGGAGGACACGGTGCCCAGCCCCACAGAAGACCTGTGTGTGGGGAGGCGGGGCACGGTCCCATTGGGTAAGCTAATACTCATGGCAAACATCAAGCCAAGCTGGTGAGGGGGTCCCAGGAAGGAGGACGGCCCCTCCAGCAACAGAAATGGGAGGTGGGGCGGGAAGAAGGGGAGGCTGAGGGAGGACGGGTGGAGGCAGGCAGGCCCATTTCTTTGGCTGGAGTGAGAGGGCTCAGTCCTGTGGCTGCCCGTTCCTCCTCCCCGCCTCCCTCCTGCGGCCCGTCAACGTGTGTATAAAGAAAACGTGAAAAGGCAACAATAAATAAGTGGTGCCGTCCCTTGGGCCATCTGTCCAGGGCGGCGGGCGGATCATTCACTCTTGGTGCTGTGGGCGGTGTCCAGGTTCACCACCTGTAGCTCGGTGAGGTTGCTGCTGCTCCCGGCCTGCTGCCCTATCACAGCCATCTGGAGGGAAGGGGGTGAATGAGGAGAGGCAGGGACTGGCCAGCCGGCTCAGGCTCCCCTGGCTTCCCTGCCTGCCAACCACAGGCCTGAGCAGAAAAGCTGATGGGCTTCCAGGCTAGGGATTTTGGCTTTGATGAACTGGTAACAGGATCCCCCAAGGTCAAGACAAAGAAGTGGCTATCTGGGATGGGGTGAAAGATATCCCTGCCTACCTGGTGGAGCTGAACTGCTGAAACAGGGATCTGCACTGTCCCAGATGATGCTGTCAGGAACACCTGGGGGACGCCACCTACATTGGAAAACCACAGGAGATACTCAAATTGTTGAAACTTCCAGATATTAGAGGAGTGGTGACAAATGCACAAGTGACTGGGGGAGTCTCAGATGTAAGAGCCCAAGGGAAAGGGTCCCAGTGTCTGAGGGTGCATGTGGGTGTGAGTGTTCAAGTGTGCATGGGTGTCCAAATGTGTATGTAAGCATCCAAGTCTGTGTTGTATTTGGGTAGAAATATTTGTAGGCATCAGTGCATACACGTGTGTGTGCATGTGTGTGTGTGTATAAGGAAGGAAACGGTCCTCCTTTCCTTAGCCCTGTTCCTCTACTCACCTGGCTCCTGGACCTGGCTGTGGGACACCTGCATGGTAGATGGTGCCTGGGAGAAGGCATTCAACACGGTGAGGCTGCCATCACCCAGGCCTGAGGTGGGGGCATACATCACCGCATGCGGGCTAGGGTACATCATGTGGCCACCCACAGTTGTGGGCACGGATGACGTCATGATGGTGGCGGGCAGCGTCACTGGCAAACACAGACATGTGTCAGCTCGGTACTGGTCCCTACTGATATCTCCCATTCCCTAGGAATTCCAGGCCCCCAGAGCCCTCTTGCCATTTCCCAGGTCAGAAGCTAGACACGACTATTCCTCTGCTCCATCATCAACTAAGAAAAGCCTATTTTTTCTTGAACACAACAGCATCAATCTTTAATTGTATCCTATCACATTGTACTATTCAACTGTCTATCTGCTGAATTCTCTAAGTCCCAAATCTTGGGAAAAACAAAGATTATGACTGACCTACTCTCAGAAAACTCAGATACTCCCCTTTTAGGGAACTCTAACATCTTATTTTTTATTTGTTTTCATTCTCCCTTAATGCACAGCTAACAAATTCATCTTTCAAACAAGCACTTCTCAAATGTTAATGTGCATTATATGGGAATCTTGTTAAAACACAGACTCTGGGCTGGGCGCAGTGGATCACGCCTGTAATCCCAGCACTCTGAGAGGCCGAGGCAGGCGGATCATGAGGTCAGGAGATCGAGACCATCCTGGCTAACACAGTGAAACCCCGTCTCTACCAAAAATATAAACAAATTAGCTGGGGATGGTGGCGGGCGCCTTTAAGTCCCAGCTCTTGGAAGGCTGAGGCAGCAAAATGGCGTGAACCCGGGATGCAGAGCTTGTGGTGAGCCAAGATCGCGTCACTGCACTCCAGCCTGGGCGACAGAGAGAGACTCTGTCTCAAAAAAAAATAAAAAAACACGGACTCTAATTCAGTAGGTTTGGGGTAAGACTCAATATTCTGTATTTCCAACAAGCTCCCAGGTAATGCTGGGTGTTCCCAGTCCACAGGCCACACTTTGAGTAATAAGGTTATAAATAATAAGAACTTAAAATTAACTTTATTTTCAGAGTATCTCATCATTTCTAAAATGTCTAGAGATACCTGAGGGTAACTGTGGCAACTCAAAACCTGTAAGACCCTCACACAAAGAGAAAATTGCTCTCTAAGTCCTTCTTGATAATTAAGCAAACGTGTCTTTGAGCAAGTAACTTCTTATTTCTAGGCCTCAGGCTCCTCATCTGAATGAGGAGGTAGCATCAATGGTCCCTAATTTTCTTCTGGAATCCACAGCCCACTGCAGGGCGGGATTCAAAACTCAGTCATCCTCACCTGACTTTCCCATA